TGCTCATAACTTTCAATTGGAGACATTCGATCCATCTAATTTCCCACGAATCTATTTCAACTGGGTGCATAAGTTGTTATAGTGTAGATGAGTACGGGCATGAGCAAGATAGATAGCTTTGATCTTCTTGGGAAGTACAAAAGAGGAATTATTTAGTTGTAATGTGATTAGAAACCTACAAGGAGATAATGTCACGTGTTTTATACTCAAAATCATTGTTGTGATGACATCACTTGGAGTCATGATCCATTATAAGAAGTGAGAGATTTGAAACTTTGCTTTGCTAAACATAATGTCTTGTCATGACAGCTTCATTTGGATATAACAACCTCTTTGGTCAATGAAGTAATCTCATTTAATAATCTAATCATTTTGCACTATCGTCATGTTTCAAATATCACAGCTTACAATTTGTGGTATCTTAGTAACATCATGACTCATACAATTAATACATTTGAGTTAAAAAAAATTCATATCAATTATAGTATATACTCGCTTAAGTCCGCAACTTGATCCAGGAGGTATGGTGCAGACTTAACTGAGATGCGGACCTAAGAAAAATTAGGGTTAATACACATGAAGATTAGAGTTAGCACATATGAAACGAAGTTTTGAGTTCATTTGCAACAATGAGTGGACGTGTGATGAAACGCAAAGGTCAGGACCAACATCTGTGAAGATCCATTCTGCATTCCAATTGTTGACCATGTCAACAACAATGATGAAATTGTGTATAAAATTGCTCGTTTGCTGAGCAATTGTCATATCTTGAGTGACAATCACGAAATTGACATTTATGGTGAAATTGAGCAATGTCTGATCGATGATAACAATGATTCAGAGCTATTCAAAAATACTCTTCTTGAAGAGATCAAACAAACAATGGGTGCCGTCCTTGTTTAGAAGTCTGTCATCGAATCCGAAGGCGATGAACTCGAACCAACCTCGGCTCACAACGACATTGATCAGCGCGATGTTATACTTCAGTCTTTAGAGAGTGCAATCAGTCTCGATTTTAGTATGAGTGACCTGAATTCTTTGCCATATTTGTCATCCGATCATATAAATTAGGCCAAGGCAGCACTATTCAAAGTCCGTAGCATTTTACAAACTGTACGATCCGCGATAGCTCGGGAGCGAATTGAAAATAGCCGCAAAATGACTCTAGTTGATTTTCTGTAAAATACACTCTTGAGAATTGATCCATGAATTTTGCGTTGTGAAGTGTGGGTTTAATTGAGATGCGGACTTAAGCGAGTGTATATTGTACTCTTAATAAGACTACTATTTTGACAAAAATATACCAATTCAGCTCTTTTTTACCTTCATGAATTACCATAACAAAGAGTCAACATTCCAATGTAGATGATTAGATAAAAACAAGAAGAACTATAAGTAAAATGTTTGTCACCGAAACATCTTTAACAATCTTTCTGGGAGGAATAGACTTATTATAGATTAAGAAACCAAAACATGCCAAACTTTGAAATATGTTGACATTTTTTTTATGATTTTGATATCTTCTTACCTTAGGTAAGAAGATATCACAATCTCATGTTTGGCTCTGAAATATGTTTGCAGTGTTTTTTGGAGGAATAGACTCAGTGTAGATTGAAAAGTGTATACATGCGACATTTGGAAATAGCTTAGATTTTGAATCTTTGTGATGTCTTCTTACCAACAATCTATATTAGAGATGTATGAGAGGTAAACTTATTATGTAATATCGTTTTTTAATTCCACATATGAGAGATAATTAGTCTCTCCAAGCATTACTAAACTAAAATCGTTTCGTTTTTTCTATAATTCAATTGGACTAGACACGTATAGTCCACATGATGGATAATCTTAGAAATAATATATTGAATCCTAGTTCTTATCACTCTTTGCATTACTAAAGCTTTTTCATGTAATCGTTTGGGCAACTGCATAATCTTGTGGATCTTAGTTTCTCCGTACATTAGTTTCTCACCCAAGTCAAGTACCTTCTTTACATTGATGAGTATCAGCATTGCTTTGAGCACTTAAAACTTCCCAGGTTCAGAAGCTAGAAGGAAGAGAGAGTAGAAACTACTTACCACAAGCATTGAGGACAAACAAAACGCTCGGTTTCAATGTATAGACCACAAAGTGAATATGGCATGCACTGGGTGTAATATTAGGTCCAAAGACGTATTCTTAGGAAAGAAGATGTGGAAGCGGAAAATGGATGCAAGGAAAGTACTAAAGAGTCGTGAGAGGCAGCTGCACCAGGGCTTGTAGCATTGGCTCGCTTCTATTTATCTCATGTTAGCATCTTCTCTATTAACATATGAGTGTGTTATTACCTTGAATGCAATGGAGCTATGAGCAATTTGTTGTTACCGTAATATGATAAAGTATAATCACTAATGGTGATATTAGAGATGTGATATTAGTACTTCATACAAATTATAATTGATTTTAGATATCACATCTGTTATTATACAAGACACGGTGGATCATACCATTCATATGGGAAAAAAATTATAAAAAAAATTAATGTACATTATTCTGATATCATAAGTACATTAATACATATTTTCTTTGTGATACTGCTGGATAGTAATCTTGACCTACCCTTTGATTCAATCTTTCCGACTTGATAGTTCTTTCTATGGTTCTTGCTATACAATGTTTGTCTTATTATATTTCCCATCTGTAAAGAGAGAATGATATCCTTCATCATAGATGTATGAAAAAATAAAATGATTCCCAATATGGAAATCTATGGGAAGAAAGTTTGATATAAATTATTTCACAGTCATGGACCTGAATGATTAGATGCAATTACTTCTAAGAATCTTAAAGTAATTATATAATAAGCTTCTTACAGCAATAACGAGTAAGTGGGATCGAAAAGAAAGAAGCAACCGTGATTGATACATCAAATTCATAACCGACCGTTTGCTAGAATAGAATATGACATTACCATAAAGGTATTGTTTGATAGCCAGTTTATAATTGGTGTAATAGCCACGTTGCTAAGTTGTTCATGATAAACTTAAAATGAACACAAAAACCACACCATCAATGTGCTCAACGAAAATAGCATCTTTGCAAATGCTGGTAAATGCTGGTGAGCAGGCAGTAACCAGTTCGCAAAAGTGAATGGACGATAATCTCCCCAACTGGTCACCACCTCGAGGACCTGGATGGAAACCCTAGACGACTAGGGACAAGATTGAAGACGACATTCTCAACCATGCAGCATGCCGCGGAAGCGAGAGGGGAGATTTCAGAACTTAGTTCCACCGATCTGGACACGACCTGGTTATGACCCATGCGTGCCACCTGGAATTTCCTCGGAGTTAGATCTGGGCAAAGGGTCGTCCTTTGAGGCACCAAGAGGAGGCCTCGCAGACTCGGGGTTCCCGAGCGACCGGGCCCGGACCTCGTAAGGGCCGGGTGACGACGGAGTTCGGCCCTTGTGAGTGGCGGACACGCTCGCGAGTGTGCAAGAGTATAACTCAAGGCACACGCAGTGATCTTTTCACTTACGGAAAGCACCGTCCGTAATTGCGCGACTCGGCCCGGATCGCTCTTGGCAGCGGGGCGAGGCCTCGCGAGGGCGACGCGTGCAGGGTCTCCTCACTACTCCCGCTCCGTAACCGTCCTAACCTCGGCTACACGTAGATATGGTCCCTTTGTCCGCCGCGGTGGTGCTGACGTGGACCGGCGCGAAAGTTCTAACGTATTTCAGGCGATCGGTGTGCCAAAAGGTTCAGTGTCCTGCAGCGAGCGTGGAAGTGGGACGAGGAGGCGCATAGAAAAGAATAAATGAACAGAAATGTTGGCAGTGGCACGCGGAAGGGAGGGCCCTTCTTCTTGAGTGGCACACCTGAACCCAAGTAAACAAATGAAAAAACAAAATGTCCAGTCCTTGCGGATACTGTTTGCTTGAGCTCGGTGCGTTTGGTGTTTTAATATACAAGTCTCCTATCCTTTCATTATTGCAAGGTCACTACTGGGGAGGAAGATCGAGCTCATGATTGATGAGCTGAGGGCAAGAGGGGAAAGGGAAAGATCTCGAGCTCGGGAGACCCTTCCCCGTCCTCCTCCTCCTAGTCACTCGTTATCCAAGCGTCCGTAAATAGGGGGGAATCCTACACATTACACAACCAAGATGGGATGATGGGACAAATCAAATCAGAAATAATATATCTCGAAAATATATATTGGCTTTTGGGCACCCGTCCTCTCGGTGCAAGCACAGCTGAAACGCTGCTGCTACTCTCAAGGCTCGAGGAAGCGTTTCAGCTGTGCTTGTAAAGAGAGGACGAGTGCACCTTTTTCTACTCCGGGCTTGAGCTACCCGAGACCAGCGCCAGCGAACTCTCATCTGATCATTACTGGTCTCGTCGCAGGAGCCGGTGTAGCTGAGGCGAGTTGGTGTCTCGGTGGAGGGCCTTGTCCTCTCTCGCAGACCTGTCTGTGGTCAGTCAGACTTCAGGGGAGCTCCGATTCGGTCGGCCTCGGTTGCTCACTGGCTGGCTAGCTAGATAAGATAGATAGCCGTCCAGCAGCTTGAAAAGCAAGGAATGTACTCATGAATGGAACAGCTCGATTAGTTAGAACAGCACAGAGTTTGATGTGTGGGAACTAAGTTGGCGAGAGCGATGGATGAGAGCGTGGCTGAGCCCGGCTTGGGCCGGCCCGACCCAGCCTAGCCCAGCTAGCTGGCCCGTCGCTGCTGGAGCTGCTGGCCCCTGCTACTCGCAAAGCACACACACGATGAGGAGCCCCTTGCTTGAATGGACTCTTGAAGCTTGGCCATTCGGTACTCGACTACGTCATGATGCTGCTAGTCAGACGGCAAGTCATCTCTAGACGTGTCTGGTCACCGAGCGCCGAGACAGTGTCCGATGGCCGCGACTGAGCCACCATCAACGGCACGTCCATAATGGGAAGTGCGAGAGGGGGAGTATCAAATGTGGATCAAGACGACTCCGAGGACTCTTTTTCAGGAGCCTGAACCATTGGCTTGAGTCCAGGCCTGGCTTGGGCTGGCCTGGCCTCGGGAATCTGAGCTTCTTCGCACTGCCCGCTAAAAATGTCTGCAGCTGGGGCCTGGCATGGTCCACTGCCTGGTCGAGTCCAGGTCAGTGGTGGACTTGAGTTAGAGGCATCGCCGGTGGCTTGAGTATTGAGGGGGATTCCGGAATGGCGATCTCGCCACATAGACAGGAGACGATGCATGCGGTGCAGCAGCAGCAGCTGCAGCTGCTGCAGTAGTTGAAAGCGAGTGAGCTAGATCTTCGCCTCCCGCGGGTTTGTAATTTACTTATCCGCCCATGTTTTATAAAATCCGGAATAAGGGATAAAGTGACAAAGGAAAATTGTAACACGAGGCTGTGGATCGAGGGCTGAATCAAGGAATCAATGCGGACTATATAAGAAACAAGAGCGCCCAGTAGCATCCAGATTTGCCGGACGCTCCGCAGGCCGCCCGCAGGCACCTTTCACTCGAACAGCTGTTTGTTTCAGCTCGATATACATCGAAAATATTTTATGTTGCTGAGCACTCAGACTGAAAAATCTCCAAATTTGGGGCACTTAAAGAGTCGATTCTTCAACGCTTTACATTATATACTTGAGAGAGTTCTGTTCTTCAAGTGTTGATTGCCGGCTACAGACTGGTATCAATCATCCTCAAGTACAGGAACCGCTCTTTACAGCCAGCCAACCACTGCGGATCCATCGATATCTCGTCGAAACGTCGAATCGAAGTCGACTGCAGTAGAGATTGATTGGGCACCTCCTCCGGCTGCTTCCAACCGTGATCGGACGACAGATCCGACTCGGCTTCGAGAACCACCGCCTGACCGATCAAGAGGTTTGTGGCACATCTGTAGGCCTGTGGTGGTCGAGGTTGTCACCTGGTGAAATTCAGCTCGGCCTCAACCGAGCTTTCTTTTGTTGGGAGAACCTTGCGGACTTGCAAGCATCGGATATCGGTTTATTCGCTAGTGTTATAAATCCCGGTTGTCGAAATCCTCCTTCAGCCTCTTCGATTCCGACTTGGGGTCTTCCGGTTCGATGGAACACTCGGTGCCTTACGACGCTGCTGCGGTGGTCCCCGTCAGTGACGATGACTACTCGAAGCTCAGTGGAAGCGAGGACGAGCAACTCGAAGAGAAGCCTGGAACCCCATGGTTCGTCTGGCCAATGTTGGCCTTCTCCCTGGTCGCGTCCTCGGCATCTGGAGCGGTAAGCAACCTCGCTCTGTCGTCCATTTTGGACTTGTACTGACATTGAGCTGGCCGGTGGACTCGATGCACCACCAAAGATCGGGAGAGGACCTGTGATTCGTTTCATTTCTTTGCATACATTTCTTCGTTGTCGATGCTCGGTACTCAAGTGGGTCTGTTTGGCGAATTCACACTGCAGATTATGAAAGAGCTGGAGATTGAGCATGCCGGGGCTGTCAGCGTTGCCGGCTGGCGATTTCAAGTGACTGCACTGGCGCTGCTTCCATGCTTCCTCTGGCAATGGGCTTTCATGACCTCGCAAGCCCGGGCAAAACTATTCCAAAAAGGAAATCTTATACAAATTTGCATTAGTGCCGCCGGCCTTACAGCTTACTTCGGCCTCTGGGTAAGAACACTGCACCCAACAAGCAAAATCCTTCCCTGCTTGTTCTTATGGGAGTGTATGAGTAATCACAGTCCTTGTCAATCGATAGAAACATCGGTCCACTGATTTCAGACCAGACACCTCAACTTGAATCAGGTCCCGAAAAGAACAAGATTCTCTGATTTTGTCGATCTAGCTACAAAATATTGGACATTGTGCGCCTTAGAATTCAGTCTGGAGATACTGCGAATAGGAAATCGCTGTAGATGCTAAAGTAGTCGAGCGCTTGAGAAGTTTTCTCTGCATTCTTTCGGCACCCAGATAGGCCTCGTATACTGGACGATCGAGCCTCTACAAGTCACTGATAATGGCAAAGCTGACTGGCTCAAAAGGATGTTCTCGAAGTGAAGTCGGGAAGTGTCTGCATATAGAATCTGAAATGAAACCACAGGCCTCTTGGGAAAGGCGAGAGTATCCAGCATTATATTGGGTTGTTTTTGGATATTGGGGTCGTTATTCCTGGCTGTGGAATTTTGGAAGCACCCAAAAATTACTTAGAAAAGGAGACTGTGCCTCGTCCTTCTAGCCGACTGGTCAGGGGAGATACTGATGGGTTTTCCTGCTTCAAATCATGTAAAAGTGAGTTTTGCAGCATAAGAAATGCAAGTGCGTGCATTTCAAGGGTTCATTACCCTGACAGAAGGAGAATATAATCAGAGAAAGCTCGATAGTAAACTCATGATGATTAAAGAGACAGGCAATTCTTCCCATTCCAGATCCTTCAAAGATTTTGGGAATTTCACTCCACAATCCGGAGGAGAGCATTAGCATTAATTTCCGAAGCCTTGTTCGAAAGCTTCGTATCCGAGAAGCGAGAAGGAAGCAACCCGTCTCATCAATGAGCTGCAGGGAGCATCGAAGGGTCTTAGCTTTTCAAGGCTCGGTGAACGAAGAAATGAAGTGGAGGGAGGTTTCTGGAGCTGTGAAAGATGCTTGAAAGCATTGTTTGATTCGTGATACGATTTTGTCGCGTTTCTGATCAATTGGCTGATTTGTATGACGCAGAATTGGTCGCTGCAACACACATCTCTGACGCACAGTCTCTTCCTCTCAGTCATGTCCCCGCTGTACGTGGCGTTCGCCACAGTACTCACGGGTGGAAAAATCACGAAAGTGGAGGTTTTCGGCGTGGCTCTGGGAATCATCGGGTCTCTCATCCTTGCCACCGGCACGCAGGCTGAGCCAGGAGCAGAGGCTACTCTGCTGGGCGACGTGGTTGCATTCATCTCCGCCGGTGGCTTTGCTCTCTACCTGGTCGCTTCTCGCCATTGCAGAGGTGCGTAAAGCTGCAGTAACTCTCATTGAACCATCTCCGTGTTGAGTCGCTGTGACAAGCACGCATCACTCGAGCCCTCCAATATGCGGAGCGTGAATTCTGTAATATTATTCACTCGCCTCACTCCCCGCGTTTTTCCCGGCCCGGGCCGAATTACGAGGCCCACCGGAGCATCGGAAGCGATGACGTAATCGTTTGTGAATCTGGAATTTTGAGGAGCTGGAAAGAATCGAGTCCATGGCAGCTGCAAGGACGGTGTGAGAGGTTTCATTTGAAATTGTGTGTATTAAATTGACAAATCGGTGGACACTGTCGATCTGTTGCGCAGCTTCCATGCCGGTCTACGTTTACATGTTCCCATCCACGGTGTTGGTGGCTGTGCTGCTCGGAATAGTCGGAATTTTCGTGGAAGGGTGGGGATCGTGGATTCAGGGAGCGCCCAACGCGATCAATGGGCCATTCGGCTGGTTCGCCAACGAAGGTACGCTGCACAGAATGCCATTCATCGCACGCTTCGACAACTAATCTGCGACTCTTTCTTCCAGAGCTCACCGTGGGAATCCATATTCTATTCCTTCACGTTCCTGCCTGCCTGCCATTCGCAAGCGACCTCTCTCTCTCTCTCTCTCTCTCTTCCATCGGCGTCAGCGACGATTCCGCGCTCGACTGTCCCCGTTCCTCAGTGGGGACAAGGCCCACTGTCCCACACTAGCGCAGTGGCAGGATTCATGTCCCGCACTGCCCGCGCGCCGCACCTCTTCTGACTGCGGTCCCGTCCAGAGAAGACCGAGCGAACTGCGCTGGATCTACGACTCGACGTAGTGCACTGCAGTGCAGCTGAGCTGAGCTGGTGGGCTCTGCCGTTCGCGGACATGCCGCGTCTCCGGAGTCCGGAAACACTCGCCGTACATTCATGTGGACGTGAATTCCAGCCACTGCCGTCATTATCCGCCAGGCTCGGTTCAGTCCGCTTCTCCTCATCAGCTGCTCACGCACGTAGCCGTGCTCTAGACTCCTCCGCAGCGTTGCGATCCATTCCTTCCGTCCGCGCGGAATCTTCCCGGAGCTTCCGGCACAATCTCTCGGTTGCAGCCGGATGCGTCCGAAAGCCGCGGGGCAAATTGACGGCCCATGGGCATCGCAATCATGAGTTACGCTCCTCCTTACGTAACGGATTGCGCGTCGATTCGAATGATTCCCGAATCCGCCCGACCTGTGGCTTGACGGGGCGGGCGTGATTCGCGTGACCCCACCCGCGAGCTCGGGCTGTCACTTCGTCGGTCGGTTCGAGGGCAGGGTCGAACATTGTGCTAATGCCTTTGCTTGCGTGCTTGCATGGCGATCACGTTCAGAGTTTCTGCTGTGGACGATATTCCTGGGAATCGTTCCTGGCTTCCTCTGCTACATCGGGTACAATGTGGTCTTGGCGTTCACGAGCTCTTTGGTGGTGTCCATGGGCCTTTCTATCTGCCCACTCACGGGATCTCTTCTGGGCTGGTTTATGGGCCTCACCAACTTACCCAAGTGAGTATTCCTTGCTTTTCGTACTTCACTCTCGGATCTCAATACTTCCTGTAAAGGTCCCGACTGTCCGAAGATTTGGATCCTTTTGCACCCTGGTTTGGTCGCTTTGTTCCAGCTTTCTTCATGACGATTCCGTCTGCATCTCATCAATGATCGATGAAGTGGAACGGGAAGTTCTGACGCAAACGCGCCTTTCGTCTTTCCCTCTTTCTCCACTATCGGAATCAACTGACCTTCTTGATTGGTCGTGTGCTTTTGCAGCATTTACACGATCGTGGGAGGATCCTTGACTATGGCTGCGACGATCGTTGTCAGCTGGGGCACTCACCCTGATGAGGACAAGAAAGAGGTAAAGCCATTTTTTAGGTTGCCCTCCTCTTTTATTTTTCAAAGATTTAAAAGTTAAGTAGATGTCTTGATTCTCGCCGTTCTGGTTGTTTGTACGGGTTGCATTCGATCGGAATAGTGGGACATTGAGGAAAGTTCAGGAAACACTCCATACTCATCTTGTAGTAGCCTATCTAACAAGCCAAGCGTTTGTGTGACGTGCAGGCCGAGAAGATTGATATCGAATCAAGAGGGTCCAAAGGCGAGGATGTGGAGGACAAAGTGCCCTTATTGCAAGATCAAAGACAACCGTAGAAATACCAAAAAATTAGATTACATACAGAATTGGAAGTGTGAGTTAGTCGAAATCAAGAAAAAAGGAAGTCGTGGCAGACGTAACCAGCCGCATATCCATGCTGTACTGTAAAACATAGTCATGTCAACTTCTTGTTGGTTTGACACTTCCAGCCGAGTTTTGTAGTATACGTAGGAATAGGAGAATCAGTACATAATTTGTATCTAGAATCTTAGCGTAGCTAATTTGTAGGCAGTGAGAATTGGTTCACATTTCTAGAAAACAGGTTTTGCCGGGTGTGGGAATAATAAACGCAACAATTTTGCAGGGGTTCTCATCACACACAAAAAAGCTCTCTTTCTCATCTTCTGTGTTCGACCGAAATTGTGAACTGCTTTATGAAAAGGTCCTCTTTCGTATAGTAGCTAAAACTCCCATTTCGAAAGATCGACCAAAGAACGTCATAGAGATTGTGGCTTCTCACATTACCACAGATCGTGACTAAATGTTCAAAGTCACATGGTTGGGGATAATATTACAGCTTAAGCCTTAGCTTACGGGATCGTAAATACCACAAGGGTTGATCATGATGAGAATCGCCAAGCCCAATTCTGGAATGGTTGAGGTACTCCTGCATAGTACAGATGCCAATTTCAGACGCCCTGGCGTTTGAGTCGCCAACGTGATTAACATTCTCCTTGTCCAGTAGTCTCCCGGTTAAGTACGCACGTTGAACCCGGGAGTGCTGTGCTTACTTACCAGAGAGGTGAGTATTTAAGAATATTGATTTCCTACTCGTTTGATTTGAGTGTAATGTCAAAGGAACCTTATATGAACACTCCTAAATGACTCGGCGCTATTTGATATCATATCAAAATCATGATTCCATTGGAAGAGCTCGAACTTGCAAGTGACTTGATCCTGAAGATGAGACAAACGGAACAAATCACAAAGCTAAATTGAGTTAATGTATGATGAAGTTAAAGAGAAGACTTTGTAATCTCACTCTTCTAACATCTATTGACAACGCCAAATAAAAAAATATTGCATTGAGTTTATTGATTTCATATATGGACTCCAGCACATATTTGTAAATACCAAGTCGTATTCAATTGCCAAGTGAATTGTATAAGGTGTTGCTTCTAGGAGTGATTTGAGATTTTATCATGGACTCTGTGAACTGTTATAGCCCAATATAATCTAAAACCTCAAAAAGAGGATATAATCTTTTAGTGGCTTGCTTTTTTCTCTATTATGAGAGTTTGTCTCTATATACAAGTATATATCAGCCACTAGAGTTTCACGCTTCTAATCAGATATGAGACAACCACTAGGAGGCGTAACAATTTTTGACCATAAACCAAATGGACGACATGTCATGGGTTGAACCCTATTTTTTCTTTTTTGCAAAAAAATGCGTATCTAAACGGGTGCGTACTTAACCGGGAGATTACTGTACAGGGATTGTAAGAAACTTGATGGGTGACATCACTCTTCAACATTGGGAGGAACACATCACCTCTGTTGTCACTGTTTATTTTTTACAGTGGCATCACAAGTGAGGTAGGTGTGGGCACGCACTTGAAAGAATTGGGGCCTACAATGTAGTTATTGTCTAGCATCATCACATTAATCATGCCCCTAGAGCATTTAGGAGAGGCTTATCAAGAGAGCGACTTTGAAGATACTTTCAGCATAAAAGAAGATATTTGTTTAAAAAAAAATTCATGATAATATATGTATCACCCAAAAAAAAAGACATCAAAACCTAGGCTTTGCTTTAGTCAACTCCATACAATTGGAGACATAAAAAATGGAAAATATGCACAAACGCAAAGAATTTCTATGTTGCTCACTCCCTTGATTAGTCACAAAATATCACAAACTCAATACACTTGTACAAAGGCTCCACCATGGCCAACAATATGATTAATGAGACATAACCTGACAAATTTAAATCCCAAACATTATATATATTCTACGATTCAACATATGATAATTCATATGCTGTCATTCAATACTTTTGGGAACTTTTCATGTTATCATGAAACCATGTAAAATCTATATTTGTAACAAATAAACTATGAAATAGAATAGAAAATTTCTCAAAAGGAGTATACATACCGATCGGTCAGAATAAAATCATAATTTTCCTAGAATAAAATACTCTCCATAATTTCGTTGGGTAAAGGAATTATGTATCAAACGATGTACGCCGTTCGTGTTACTCCTTTTCTCCGTGGCTCTTTAGCGTATCAGATGATGCCTTTTACACATGTACTTCGTGGTCTAACTCTGGATCGCTGTGTCCGAAAAGCTATGACATAAATAATTTCAACGGAAGTCCACCGAAATATGCCCAGCTGTGGACGAAAAGTGCACGCAGAAGACTAACCGTCTGCTTGCTCTTCGTACTATTCCAATTTGAAGGCATACCATGTTCTATTCTCAAAATATCGGTATGAAATTGTCAGCAGGCCTTATCAATTCTGATGTTGGTCCTTGACTTTTGATACACCTGGTTGAAGTTTATTGCAATTATGTCAACGATGGTCTTCCAAGTTATAGAGTTCGGTATTACCCTTTACATATCTTATTATTCGCAAGTTCTGATCTACTGGATTTCAGTCAACGACGTCTGCATGATTCCAGTGCTTTGAAATTCTACATCATCATACTTTGTTGGGTTTCCAGTATGTAAAAGATTGGTGACATGGTCAGATACCAACTATTCTCTTGACGATCCTGAAGAAGTTCCGTTGTCGTTGCCTACACAAGTCCTCGGTGTTAGTTAGCATCAAAACTTTCTTGGAAATCAGGGGCTGTATCGGGAGGAAGATGCCTTAGCATTAAAACTGCTTGTCACGCTCATGTCATAAGCAGACCAGAAGTCTGGGTGCTTTAAATGTTCTAAATACAACACATCAAAAGTTTATTAGAAATCAAGGGCTGTATCGGGAGGAAGATGCCTTGGCATTAAAACTGCTTGTCACGCTCATGTCACAAGCAGACCAGAAGTCTGAGTGCTTTAAATGTTCTTATTACAACACGTGAACGGATATTTTATATCACTGAGGGATAGCCATCGGCATTGCGAGTGGTTCCTTTCTACAGTGCAAACGCATCGGTGGTCGAAGGGACCATACTGCTCACAGGAAAAGCAAATTGCACCTCTTATTGTTCATATATCATAGTTGTCAAGATATTAACCGTTGAAGTGATGACATCACTGGAGGGCAAGCTTTTTGCATCACTTGATCAAATGTTACATGTGCACAGGAGACGGGAAAAAATCACTGGAAGGTTCAATAGTTATATCTTGACTAGTAAAGTTGGTAATCATATATAATAGCAAGAATCAATCTACAAGTACTAATATTGATGTTCTAATGAGATACTGTAATCAACATTCATAAAGGTGACATCCATTCACACTTCTTGATTTCCTTACCTTTACTCGATACCGTTTTATCCCCACACAAAAAAACGTTGCAAACTACTTTTCATACTCATCATGTTGACTTCACATAACAGCAATAGCTTTCGGCTTCTTGATATGAGTGTAGGTACTATGCAATAGTACACAGGTTTCATGAATGTAGAGAGAATTCAATAGTCGATTGTTATTTTGTAAATTGGGGTCAGATATACTAAATAATTTTACCATGAAAGTAATGAAGTTAGAACTTAAACAAGTGCGCATAACACCACATCAAGCAAATCTATCTTTTGCAAGTCATCACCTATAATATTCTAGCATGATTTCTTTGTAACTTTCGCATTGATGGAAAAAAATCGTAATTGTAATGTGTATTTATCACACAACTTGAAATTACACTAAAACATCAATTATGGTGAACATTTAACACAATCACATTGTACAATTTTTGTTTGAGATGACTATATTTTCAAATATTACTAACGCACTAAAGGTTATCAAGCCAAAAGATGTAAATGACATTGTCAGAGAAACCAAATTTAAACGTTTCAATTTCATATCTATTAAATACTCTATTCTTTGCAAACTAAATCCATGCTTGCAAAAAAAAAAAATCTTGTATTCAAACTCAAATAACCTTATAATAATGCAAATGCAATAATATCGACCTATTTTTTCAAACAAATCCTAAATAATTTGATGGGTGCAATTCTTTTTCAATCTGAATATCATCATTTGAAACAAAAGATCGACATATCTTCTTATCAATCAAATTTTAAATATCAATACTTATAAAATTCTCATACCTAACATTGAAATAGTTTCTAAATTTTAAAAATTTTATTTTCAATTTGAAAAACATCAAAAAATTATTTAAACTTATTTGGAATCCAACAAATCAATCTTGAAAATCCTAAGTTTTGATCCTAATGACCTAACTTACTTGTAATTGAATGATTTGAACATTCAATACAATAAATCTATACAATGTGACACATTTAGCATTATGATATAGTATAAACGATTAGCATTATTGCAATAATTGATCATACTGAAATAATATTTGTATTAATAAATGTCAAATATAAATTAATATCATGAGGTAATTTTCAAAAACCAATTATCTGTTTACATATTTTTCAAAATAAAAATAAAAATAAATATTTATGCAGTTTTCATCAATGTCATTTTGAATCCGCTAGGAAAGTATTTTACTTCCGCTTGGAAATCATATCAATTTTTAAATTAATATTTGAAAGCTCTTTCATTATTCAAGAATTTTATTTCCATCACCATGTACTGTATGCACTCTCTATTGTCAATAAATGCTACTTTTAATTCTATTATATTCTGCATTATATTTGATGCTAATTTTATTTAATTATTTTATAATCATATACTTATTTTTTATGAATATTCTATATAAATATATTTTTTAGAGAATCACATCAATTTTTTTTATCTAATAAAGGAAACAAACATCATTCATGTGAAATTTTTTTGCATTGCAGAGATTCAATTCGAAAAAATTTATCTCTTATATAAAATTTAATGTTCTAAGTAAAATCTTTATATAATTTACCACAATGTGATGTACAATGATAATATTATTATCTTTTATTAATATTTAATATAACAAAAATATAAGATAAATGATAAAAAATCCATATGTCGATTTCCTAACTTTGTAGTGATAAATTAAACCACAAATCATATCTGATAGCATTGATTACTATCATTTTTATACATATTTATCATATTTTGATCATATTAAAAGTGGATTATTTTTTAACATCTATCCAAAATTCAAATACACTCTTAGTGAATATAGTATATTTGATATAGAATCCATTCCAAAAACTATATTTTAGTTAGAAATGTTTTTATGTAACATACAAGATTTATTGTTGCTCCTGTAGAAATTTTAGACAAATTATACGAAAAAAATATATTATATCACATATGTTACAACTCATGTATGAATTTCTTGTTTCAAAGCATAATAATTAATCATAAAGCACAGATTATAATTTTTCAACCATTTGATATTCACTAATATTCAATGTGTCTTTATTTCAAAACACATATTTTTTTTGAATATTCACAAGTCTTTGTTAACATTTTTAAAGATCATAAAATATTGTTAAGCTATGCCAACATAAATTCATGACAAAAGTATTTGATTTGGTTTAATTATTTAATCCAAATATATAGAAATGTATAAATATTTCATTCAGATATATTTTCTTCAATGACATAAAGCATCTTCAAATGCTATTGGATATGTTGTATCAAAAAAAAAATCTTATCTTATTGTTAAAATTTTGCTAATTTTATTTTTTTATGGATTACAAGTAAAATATAAATAGAACATCAGTAAATGATACACTCATACGTTAATTTTTTTTTCAGAATTTTGATTTTATTAGTTTTACACCTTTGTCACATAATCAATTTAACACAAATATCATGGACACATACATCCACACCTAGGCACAATTTTGATTATATTCTATTGTTTTCATCAGAATCTATGTATTCTACGAACAGAATAACTTAAATAATAAAAATTAATTACAAGATTGTAAAATATTGAAATTAATTTTTTTTGTTTCTTTGGAATTCTTTGACAATAATGTCAAAATATAGATACTTCTTTTTAATAGAAAATTTTCTGAAATATTAATAATGAATTTTTGATTTTATTTTCTGCATCAAAATCCAACAATAACAGATTTTTTTCTACAATTGCATCAAATTCATCCTCTAAATTTTATTTTAAAATAACATGTAAATTTGAAAATAGACATGTTTGTTTTGTGACATTGACATATGAATTGGAATTCTTAATTTTCATTTACAAGAATATTTTACATTGTGGTTATGTTCAAAGTAGTAAGCATGGTTAATCTCCAAAATATAGCAGAATAGAGCACTATGCTTATTTTGAAAATTTCAATAACCTTTATATTTAAATGTGATATTCATTAACTAATTAGAATTAAAATAAAGATATATTTTTTTGGAATTTAAATTTAAAATGAAATATTTATTATTAAAAAAAGGTTTTTCAACTTTTTCAAACCAAATTTTTAACCATTTTTAGCTTTTTGAATTTTAAATATTTTTTTAAAGGATTTATTATTTAGATATCCAATTGTTGATACTTGACTAAGTATGGAATTTGACGTTTTTAAATTTTTATATTATTTTTAGATTGAAATTTAATAAAATATAGAATTTATCGAGTGTGAATATTTCTCAATATTTTTTTTACCAATTTTAATCTTTAAATGGAAATTTGTATTTTTTTGAAAGTCTAAGACATGATATGAATTCTCTCAAATGGTAATTTTCAAATATATGTTTTTATTTGGTTCAATAATGATGTGTTAAACATTTGGATGACCGATTTTTAATATAAATATGAAAACGTCAGTTTTTATGATAAATCGATTCAACATTCTATCTTGTAGCTTTTTTGGTCATTTTTTCTTGTGGATAAGTTCATATTTCATATGATTCTTTGTGATACCGATATGAATATTTTTGAAAAATTCCAGTACATTTTTTGAAATGTTATTGGTATTTTGATTTCATTATTTAAATGTAATATTTATTTTTCAAAACGCCAAAATTGCAAGTAATGCAAATATTTCAGTAAAATGAATCGTAGATTTTATCTTTTCTTTTCTAATAATTTTAATCCAACTTGTATTCTGACCCTACAATCTTGAACCTTTGATGATTTTATTTTGACTTAACATATTCTATCCATATCTGATTTTCCTCGAATTTTAATACGAGAAAAGTCACATTTCCAGATAGAATATATATGGATAGACCAGAATATTTAATGCAAATTCATAAGAGAATCATATTTTTGGAACGAGGACCTCGACCGATCGTCTCTTTGCTGCTGCTTGACCCTCGCTGCGCCTGATATCCGCATGATTCTGTGCATGATGTTTTTCGGATCGAAGAGTGCAATGACGTTGACTTTTCGGATGAGAAGGGAGACAATTTGCAAGTCGGCCGCTTGGAAAATTGGTGGGATTTACCGCGCTGCGAGTCGTATGTTGGGTTTCGTCCCACCTTTTTGCCCGTGTCAAATCTCGACGAATCCGCAACCCATCTGGACCGACGACATCTAGTCTAGAGATTATTTCCATTGACAAATGTCACGGCCGGACGCATTTCTTTAGAATATATATAGATATTTAATGAAAAGTGTAACAGAAAACATGATTGAATTTTTTTGCTGGACACACATGTCATGTTATACAAACTTGAATTTATTACTTTTTCTAAAACAATGTCAATCCTAACACCAACTGCTTTTTAATATACATAAAATTTTATTCTGATCATGCAGAGGTTGGAAAAATTGATGAAAGAAATGATGCTTTCTTATTGTTGAAAATCTTAAGAAGTTCATGACATCTTTTACTAAGTATCTCAAAAACGTTGGTGTGAAATGACAGTGTCAAAAATTCATTTTTTATAAGCTTGATAATCTTTGAAACTGCTTATAGTCTTTGATGTTGACGATTGCTGATAAAATAGATCAAAGATATGTCTAGAATATACACACATAAAGAAAAATCGAAAAATGCTTTTTATATGTATATATATATACACACTTTCCATACTCCACTAGTTTGATTTCGATTTTAATATCTTGTAAAACCTATACATGAGCCAGTTCTCACATTTCTAAGTTTTTCTAATCGTGTGCGAACACTTCCAACGTAATACTCACAAACTTTAGAGCTCATCGGATGGTTAATCTATGTGATATAGAACTGCAATAGATTCGGTGCAAAACTATGCACTTCGCTGGAATGAAAATCGTTTCCAAGCAACCCGGACTCGAATTCTACAAGCTAGAAAAGAGCTAACTATTGAAGTATCACAAAATGACTCATAGGAAGTAGAAGGACTTAATCGAAAGTCATCCTACATGATTTGAAGATTCAAGATAGTCACATGTGTCATTTGTGGGGTATGGACTCCAGATTCTAAATTGATGCAATCTAAGTTGTATGCAGCCTCGTGGATGGGCGTGCAAATTTGACCTGGATCAAATACTGATCACGAGTCTATACAACTGAAAGAAATCAACAGATATGTGCAGAGAGATTTAGGCAAGTCTTTCGCTCTGACACTGTCTTCTCCTCTGTACTACATCCTCGCTCTCATCTGATTTCTATTATGAATTTGAGTTCGTCCACGAGATTGCATACGCGTTCAGTCTTTCCTTGTTTATTTCCGACGTCCAGTCCTTCATGAATGCATGTGCCAGAATTATCTGGCGCATGCATTTTCTCTTCCTTTGAGACACTCACCTGGCCGCACAAGAAGGGGAAATGCAGGGCTTGCAACAATTGGCAGTCTCAGATCCGGTGCATGAGTACGGCTTCTCTGGAGAGTGTGGATTTCTTCCTTGCATCGTAAGCCTCATCACGGTTCATCTCGAGGATGTCGGAAGCATCTGGAAGGGTTCTTGAGCCAGCTGAACAGTTTCAGGAGAAGCAGAGTAGTGGGATTTTTTTTAAGCAGAGTAGTGGATTCCATAACGACACTCTCTCCAGAGGAATGGCTGAGCTGACTGTAAATTCCTGTTCTCTCGCAGGATGACAGACATCTATTTCCCCCATAAGAATTTTCATATCTCTCTGAAGCGAGTCGCTTCAGAGCGACGAGAAGATGTCGGGCGACTCTTCTTCGTTCAGCCTTTCACTGATTCCATTCATCATTCACATGTCCATGGAAAGGATGCAGCGAGTGAGTTACGAAGTCGGGCGTCGTCCTGTGACATTCTGATGCGTCTGTATGAATCTCATGAGAGCACTCATGTGCTCAAGTCTCCAGTATTACGAAAAGTCTCAGCAACAGCAAGCTTTAGGAAGTTTGCATTCAAAACTTTAAGGCGCGAGTTATAAGAACCGACAGAAACATGAGAACGCAATACAAATGCTATACAGTCTTTTTACACATTGATATTTCTAGGCATTATATTTAACAAATCTTGCTCTTGGCTCTGCCGTCCTAAATTTCGCCTACATCAGAACGACATATGCGGTAACGCCTTGGGGAAAGTCGCGTCCGCTGGAGAACGAATTCGGATACTTCCGTACAAAGTGGTATTATGTAGCCGTCTATATGGTGTAGAATATACCTTCCTTCATTGAACTGCCAGTTAATTCCGGATGTCTGTGCCATACGCATCTCGACAACTTTGCAAGAAGTTAAGAACACTTTCAGCCTTGGAGTGCTGCCACCGCAAGCTGTAAAATGCCTTCACAAATTGGGGAGCCAGATTCAATTCTGCTTCAACTCTGTTGCAACATGTTATTTGTGTTCAACGTCCTTCTCATTCCCTGTCCGTCCATTTCTCAAAGAAGAAATACACAAAATGTACAAACGAGCAGAATGACATGCTCACATTTCCTTCATCTAACGAGAATCTGGGCTTAACACCTCAAGGCGGGACAGATTCTTGGACCACATTCAACGAAGAAATCTGCCACCCATCCGAACTCGTCTATCGATGGCACGTACACATAGAGCCACCATGGATCCCTGGACACTTTTTGACCCTTTGCTCTGCACTGCACTTCTACTTCTGTGTTTATGGGGATGGGGGCTATGATATCACAACAGCAATCCGTCTCACAATCAGTACTGGGCGAGCAGAAGCTGTCGGAATCACCGCAATTGCGTAGATAGACCTTCTTGGCGTTGACAAGAAACACATTGTCCTCACCATAAGCGCAGTCAGCTGCTGCAACCAGTATCATCACTGCAACATGACAAGCCAGAGTCCTGCAAGAATTCAATCGACCACCCAGCCTCCAGTCAGGTTTTAGTGAGGTGGCGAAGTTGTCTTCGTTTGAACCTCGATAAACGTGAAACCATTCATCAATTTGCAAGTTGAAGTCATGGATGCATACCTAACTCGAGCAGCCATTCTCACTTATTGTGAAATTGCAGGGTAAATTCTGGCGCGTGAAGGTCTTCGCAGCTGAGTACCTGTGGCCTCCACCACCTCCAGTTGTTATGAGGAGAATGGAAGACAATCCTAACACAGCTTCTCTTCAAGTACCACAAGTGTGGAGAAATTAATGAATAGTGATGCATGCTGATCTCACATGCATCACGCACGACTACGAATCCTGTAATGCAGAGACTTGTGCTGTTGGCTGTTGATGCTCGCGTCCAGTATTTTAAGTGCCTAAAAGTTGTGCATTTCCTTCCCATTATCACGAACAAAGTTAGTGATACTGTGCGTAGCTGGACTTGATTGAGGACGATTGCATAGGCTTTGAATATCAATTGGAAGAGCACGTTCTAATTCATAATAATTGGCAAAGATTACCTTGGCCTTCGGCTGTGTTCTCGGTTTCCTGACTCAACCCAATATGGAATGTCACGCATCTCAAGTGACCATGCAGCCTGCGTCAAAAGTCTAAGATTTTTCGGACACTGCCTGCATCTCGAGACAGTCTGCTGTACCTATTCATGCTCAAGAGAGTAAGACACTCTCTCTTTCACGTGGAAGCGTCACCAGAGAACAGCGATGCTTTCTAGGCATGAACAGTGTGAAGTCAGCATGTGAATATTGGGGTCAAACGGTTCTGAACTGTTGCATGACTGTGAATTTGCTCATGATTATTGCATGCTCTCGGATTCTCATGGCGTGTGCTGCAAATCTGCGATGCTGTTGTGTGAAGAATGAAGATTACGCTCAATTTCAACCATTTCACTCTGTGTGCCATTTCCTTACTGCATAGAATCTTTGTGGCTTAAAATATAATCATCTTGCAAGACTTCTGAGGTTTGCGTAGTTTGTGGGTCTCCACCCAAGTCTCCAGCTGTTTTGAGCCATTTGCTTCGTATATTCTACTCACCGAGCATCGGAGAGCTCGCTCCGAAGGGCGTTGAACTTTAGCAAGGCCGGAGCAGATGGCCTGGCCTCCACGGAGCTATGCAGCTTGCTGGTTCTTGCAATCTTGCGTTTCCCAGTGGGAAATGGGGAACGGGCGGCCACAACTTCACTGACACTCGGCCCTGCGTGTTTACACATTGGCGTCCATTGCTGAGATGAGGCTCGGGATCAAATTATCATCGAAATGTGGAGCTTGGTGCCGCAAGATATTTCAGGCTTCGTAGGGCTTGTCGCAAACACGATTCACAGTCTTTGGGACGAAGGTGACGAGAAGAAGTTGAAGAGCTTCCTGACGAGGTGCTGAAGAGCTTCATCTACTATCCGTTCCCCTTCCTGCTGCTGCTCTGCTTTTGGACAATTCCTCTTCCATCTGAAGTACATCACAAGCTTCACATTTCCTCCGTGCATGGTCTTCTCAGCGTCTGGCCCTCGCATCTCAACACCATGCGACGATCAAAATTAATTCTGTCACGCACATCCGCACGAACGAGTGAATCGTGCAGAGGACCAACCGCGAGAGAAGAGGCACATCCGCTCAGCTGCGTCTCGCGAAACTCTGTCCTGTGAGTTGCGCCATGCAGAATGGACTTCAAGATCGACTGAGAAAAACATTAATCTCTTCTTTTTTATCTCCCAAAAAAGGACCGCCACTCCGTCTTCCTCCCTGGAAGCTCTGTGCCGGCATGCGGAGGCAGCACATGCACGTCGCAAATGTTCACGGACGGCTTTTACGCGATCACGGTCCTTTGACAGACCACGAGCACGAGGTGGTACAAGGCAACCGTTCCGAGCTCGTCGTTATCATGCACATGTCGGGCATCCGATAGTCAGAAGTGCGCTTTGTAGGAAGGTACTACATCCGCCATGGGTGAAGACTTAATTGTCAGGGGGCCTTTGCTCCTCCTATGGGGTTTCACGGATGGTGACGTTTAGATTACTGATCGAGGGGCAAATCCGGGCGATTTCTCATCTGTTACTACTGGCAAGGTACATACAAACGTCGATCTCAGACCGAAGTACTCTGATCTGTACGTACCTCCAGACAAGAGGAGAGATTTCCTTTTTCCTGGTGGAGTAGGTGTGACTATGACTGCTTTACAGGGGATTTCGTACGTGCGATCTCATAGCTACAGTTTCGTGGCTCGGACGGAGGAATGCCATGGCACGGCATGGTATCCTTCCTTTTGGACCGTGATGCTTAATCATGCTGAAATTGAGTACCACATCAGGAAGGTCGAGTGAACCGGCTTTCCCCGAACATTGTCACTGTGTGTGAGTGTCTCAGGTCTGTTTCTTGAGCTGCTCCAGAGTTTCGACAAGAAGTCAGCTGCTGCTGGTACATGCTTGCCCCAAAACTGACAAATCTAGGCTAACCATTAACACGCCTTCCATTCCTCAGCTGTCAAGATGGGCCAGATCCGATCGATCGGCTTCAAATGTTGATCTTTTCACACGTGCTCGCTCGCTCGATCAACTCTGTCTTTTGTCACTGGTCAGCGGAAGAGAAATGTCATGGGCAGTCTTCTAGCTCTCCTCCTGTCATCGAAATCTCATTTATCTCGCACTCAATAATGATCATATGATTTAATAATCGTCTGCGTCGAGGAATTTTCCATACAGGGTTTTCTACAACACGTAGAAACTTGCAGTTGTTGATAGCTCATCTCGTGGGTCTCGGCCTTCACTCGTGCAATCGTGGTCTCACGATGAGATCAATTCGTGTGCCTTAAACGGTCACAGAGCAATCTGTACCCATAACTGCAAAACGTGAAGTCCATGTGCCGTTGTCGACCTCAACGACCTGAAAGCTGGTTCAGGGTGGTGTGAATGCAGCCAGAGTGGTACGCTAAAGTCCGAATCGTTGTCGATATATATATGTGAACTAGCCTCGTCACATTTTCCCTTTTCTGCGCACGCATGATTAAAACCGATTCACTCGCCTGAGCAATTCTATCGTCTCCTGCAGACTTCCCAGAGTGCCAACTAAGAAAAATCAATATCAAGGCAATTTCCATTGATGTGAAAGTGAGCTTCATCGCCAGAAGAAACGAGTCTGTCATTCCGAGAGATGACAGACGTCTTCTGCCCCCAAAAGAATTGAGTTTTTTTCATATAGCAAGGAGCTGCTAGATTTATGGAGGATAATCACCATTATGAATGTCCATGCTCTCATGAATGCTTCAAATAACCACTTGCGTCTCCAAGTCGCCCTCTCAACAGTATTAAAGATTTAGACAACAACAAGGAAATAGTGGGAAGTGATAAGTTTATCATTCTCTAATATATATATATATATGAAAGTGTGTGCTCTGAAAGACTTTGCACTGTCATGCGAAAAGAACAAATTTGAAAATTATTAACGGTATTTCACTCTATGCAAACATCGACCATAAAGATGTTACGTTCTATAGAAAAAGCAGGTGGACAAAAGAGCAAGGTGAATGTGAAAGCATTGCAATGAATTCAAACTAGAATCCGTCTAATGATTGCTCGCATTATAAAGGAGCAACAATCAGTCACTAAGGTTGGCAAACTGTTTTGAAAATAACAATTAGAAGACTTCATTGCACGTGAAAAAACAAGTATTAAACTTGGTAATATAATTCCAGGGAAATGTGTTCCAAGTACGGAAGCAAAAAATCACGCGAACTGGCAGATTCGATCTAGAACAGATTAGCTAAGTTAACCTTTCATCGCTCCAACCAAATGTAAAATCTGATTGCAAAATCCACACAGCGGACACATCAAAATAGGAACGATGGAAGAGATGTGTGATTCATCTCTATGAAATTTACGTTCAAAGTAACTCAAATGCTTTACTAAAAACTTGTGTTTCAAAGAGTATTGATCAGTTCTCTAAGTTCTACTAACTCTGATTAGTTTATTTACTAACCTGACTTACCAAAACTTGAATAAGCAACTAACAAAATAAAATTTTAAGGTTTAATATTTCAATCATCATCATCATTTCAATGATGTAATTAATTTCATCAAAAAACACTTTAACATTCAAAACATATTATAAAATGTTCATTGATAAATTTTAGAATTTAAAATTACTCGAAACGAAGAAGGAATAAATCTTTTTAAAATATAATTCTTGACATGAATTTTCTTTTTCAGTAATATGGATGTCAAGATATTTCTAGTTTTTATTTTTAGAAAAATTTAAAATTTTTATAGATTTATTTCTATATATTTAATTGTATAAAAAATACGTAAAATTTTTCATTATTTAATATTTATCATTTTAACAAATCTTCTTACTATTTAAGATTTAAATTTATCAATTTTTTAAGAATAAATTAACTTGTATTTATAAAAGGATATAAAATATAAAATTAACTATCCATTATATTAATTATCACAAAGATCTGAAGATTTGATTGAAATATATTTTATCATTTAAATAGCTACCCGGCGCTGCTATTGGCATAACAATAGGTTGACCCCAACCCCAATTCTCTCGTACTATGGTCGACTTCTCGCAGTTCTCTCTAAAAAACAATAGATAGATAAGAACCGAATTGTCTCACGACGTTCTAAACCTAATTCACTTACCACTTTCATCCGCAAACAACCGTTGAAAGTACCTAAACCACTTTCATCGTTCTAAACCTTGGGACCCTTCTCGGAGGGCGGGAGTGAGTGAACTGAGTTTCCATGAAGGTGAAAGTACTTCTCCCTTGAGAGCAGGGTATCAGCGTATTTAATTTGAAGAATAAAAAATCTGTGTAAATCATAATTGATAAATTCATATTAGAAAAGAGATATAATTTAAAATAATGTTAAGCAAAAGATATATAGTTGATGATGTTAATCTGAGCAATATGAAATTTATAGCATCAATCTTAAAATAATATATGCTAGTGATATTAATACAAAACCTATTTAGTAACAAAGATTTCAATAATTAAGATTTCCATGTTTAATAAAATTCTATACGAAAAGACCATTTTTAATGAAAATAATTACTTAAAGAAGCTTTTTATCTTCTATGTGTTAAGTCTATCGAGTAGAATTAGCTGCCACCTTTGGATTAGGTTAGGTTAAGTTTCAGCTTCTTTTCTATAAACTCAAATGTGAGCCGTCTGCAAATCCTAGTAGCAGTATAGAGAAAGTCATCATTTTTATGGTCAGCTATGCTGTCAGGATGACCACGTGCTAGTGTGAAAGCTTCTTTGTTATCACGATCAGGTTTTGTTACAAGATACTAGTATCAAAACATTTCATCTTTCAAGATGACGATATATTTTGTGGAAGATTTAATTTATGATTTTTATTTTAATATATAAATTCTGTACAAAAATTTAAAAGAGTAAAGATAGTAATTTGGATACCCTCAAACAATTAAAAACACTAGTAGCAATGTAAAATAATCAGACGATCAACATTCTTGGTCAAACAAGGGAAGAGAGTACACTTAATTCATCAAGTTGTGACAAGAAAAGTAAATTCATTGCCACATGATTTGAGTTGACACTCCAGATTAGAATGGAATGGAAGAGAGACTAAACATGAAGCTTAAAGAGATGAGAAGTCTTCTCTATGCAGGAAATATTCTATATGTTCCATAATTCTACAAAATAAGGATTGTTATCAAATCAAAATACGGAATACGCAGAGTTCAATTAAAACCTTTAATATTTTTTTCAATAATTGTACAATTTGACAGCAATGTAGTACTACTTCAAGGAATATTGATGTTATTTTTTATCTATAGAAATAGTTTTCCCATTTCAGAGTTGAAAATTTGCTTTCTAGTGTTCGGAAGTGTATAGGCTAATACTGCAAAAAATTTGATAAGTTGAAAAAACCTGTACTTAATGCCTGGAATACTCCAAGCCTCACTGAAGTCAAATTGTTCTGAAAGACAATTTACGTCATTGTGAATTTTTTATTCACGGTGCATGGCAACTAAAAGCTGCTTGTGTTGTTTCACTATTTTATAAATGGAGTTTTGTTGCAAAGAAACTGCCAAACCATCTTGATAATTCAAAACTATTTGAACGACATTGTGCTTTCAACACTGTAAGTTCTTGATATAAGCAAGGAGTCAAAGTGTTGTAACTTGTTTGGTTGACCTCATTCCGTGTGTCATCTATTGTGCTCAAATTGTAAATTGTTTTTAAAAAATAATTTTTAAGTGCATGCAAAATTTCAAGTCTTGAAGTGGATAGCAAAGAATCTTTGATAAACAAATGGATAGCAAAGAATCTTTGATATTGAACTATTCTGATCAAATTGGCATGACTAACTTGCCATCGTTCAAATGTAACGCTGAAATTAACTTAAGATTGTCAACAATGCATTCCATGAATGCAAATCGCTATAAACTAATCCTCAATTATTAGAAAACTAATTTTTACTATGTAATGTGATTCTTCGTCCTTGCAAACTTTCAACAAATTAGTTGAAATGGTCAAAAAATTCATTATGACTACAACCAAAATCCATGAACACAATGTGGATCTCTCACTCAATTATTGAGGAGCATCAGTATCATTAAAATAAGTCATGATTTTATATCGTCTTTTGTTCAAAAATTGTGATACGCAAACATCAAGGTCCAGCGGGTAGGAGACAAATTTGGGCAAACATCTTACATTTTGCCAATCTAAATCCTCTGACAAAGTAGAAAGAAAATCAATGAGGTATGTATCTAAAAGAAATCTAAAACCTGATGTTTTGTAAACTTTTGTATCACGATATAGATCTGATGTAGTATACATCAGATCTATATGAAATATGGTCTAAAGATTATTTGGATACACTTGACAACTCCAGATAATTGTCTGATCATATTGATAGCACCATTAATTAAACATCTGATTAGCTTGTCCTTCCATCAAAAAATTTCAAAAACATATCAAACATGGACAATACAATATGTCAATCAGAAAAAAAAATATAATAATAAGAGGAAAATTTTCAAGAGATGATTTTGATAGATCAAATCCTGACATCAATCCAAGATATTTTTTGCAAATCACAATATGCATCAAAGACTACATAATATTCTTCTCATTTGGAATGTAGAATCTGTGCAATGTTCTCAATTGATATTGCGCATGCAATTCTAACATCTCAAGCAACTAGATATTTTTTGCAAAATTCAAGTTTTGAAATTTCACATACCTTTTTTTATCTTGAACGGCATAAGCATAACAAAAAGACAATTTTATGTTCACACATGTCGTCTATATTTAGTGTCGTACTAGGGTTAGGAATCACTCTAGTTGTACAGTATATAGTCGGAGAAACTCAAAAAGCGTTACGTTCTTTGAGTTGAGCCTTTGCGCTTTGGTAATAGCTTGTAGTGGACTAGCTGTGATGTCACCGTTAGCTTCGAGATGTGGAGTGGATTTGGCTCAACCTGATATGACTGTTTGTGTTTGAATCAATGAAATTTGCACAATACAATTCACTTAAAGAATTCACAGTGTATGATTACAGGTTTAGGTTACTGTTATCGTTGTACTGAAAGTGAAAAGTGGAATTCGTTGTTGGTGATTTCATTTTTTGTCGATTGTGTTTGTTGGAGTTGTTATGTTTGTGTTAATCCGGACTGTAAGACCGGGTGTTGCACATATGTACTAAGTCTTAGAAGTGGTCAAGGGAATAAGGATGATTAGCCAAGGCATAGCTAAGACTAGCTAGTTATGACTAAACTAGTTAGTTATAACTAAGTTTATCTAGTCATGACTAAGTTTAGCTACAATGTCTATAGTTGGCGGAATAATTAGCGGAGTTCTAGAAGAATGGAGTGAGCACTTCTATTTTGTCTTTTACAAGGAGTGAGCACTTCTATTTTGTCTTATACAAAAATTCTAGATTCCAAGTGATTAGATATTTGACTAGAAGCTTGGATTTGATTGGTTTGACTAAATGTATGAAAGATGATTGGCTAGACTAAGTCTAATGTTGACTTAGTGGCTAGGAAGCTTGTAGAAGTTTAAAAGCTTCAAATGGCATGTCGCCACCTCAACCTTGGATTCCAGAAGCTTCTAGAAGGTTTAGGTAGGCCAATGGCATGTTGCCACGTAGAGAAGCTTAGTCAAACTTACCTAGGTAAAAGTAATTTAGGAGAAATTACCACACGTTACTATGGTAACTTCTCAAGTAGTATAAATAGAGAGGTAGAGTAGCACCTCTCAAGCAAGTTTGGAGAGTCATGTGTGAGGACTTGTTTCAGTAATGAAGGAGTGAAGTTTTTGAGTATCTTGGAGTATCGACGTGTGTTTGCGTTTATGTGAAGAGAGTGATGTGAGGAGAGTTTGTGTATGAGTTGGAGTGATACATGGAGAGTTTATGAGAGAAGGTGTTTGGGATATGAGCGAGATGATGAATCCTAGTCTTCTGGAACCATGATGCGCTACCACAAAGCCATCAGAGGTAAACCTGAGTGAGAGTCAGCTCGGAGGTTGAAGGACCGGTACACGTTCGAGTGTGGATTTGTTTTCCAAGGTGCGATGATCCGGTGGTGCCAATCATGGAATGAATCTGGTGGCCAGATTGAAACTTTCCGAGGATTTTGTTCTCAAAGATCGAACAGTGAAGTGAGACGGATTTGAAAATTCAAAACAGTTCGCGTGTGCATGAGATGGTGTGACTAGTCGATATTTGGAAGGGTTGAGAGAAAGAAAAGGTTGGAAAAGGGCTAGCGACGGGAGTAGGGGAACAAAGGACAAGAGATAACGCGATGCTTATGAAAAGCGAGGTGTGAAAGATGATACAGAGGAATTATCTTGTTTAATTGGAAAGAGGTTTGGCTAGATTCAAAGTCGTTGGAGACAACAATGGACATGTTGGCTTGGATGTGAAGTGCAGCAAGGAGTTCGTCTATGACATCTGTGATGCAATCAGGTTTGTTAAGTTGTCCGTCATCACCGTACGAAGAGGTTATTGGGGTATTAAGATCAAAAAGCTCCACACATTACCTTGCAAGGTAACTGGAAAGTGTGGTTTGGAAAGCCGCACACAGTACATTGCAAGGTAATTGGAAAATGTGGTTCCATCAAAGTGCATCTGATACCTGCCCCATAGGTTCTAGAATTGTTGATGCACGTATTCCCAAGAAGTTTTTGCAGTTTGTTGGTATTGATGATGTGTTCACTTCATCTCGGGGCTCCACAAAGACTCTCGGAAACTTTGTTAAGACCAACTTCGAGTGTTTGTTGAGAACTTATGGATTTTTGACTCTTGATTTGTGGAAGTAAACCCGCTTCTCAAAGTCATCCTTCTAGGAATTCGATGAACTCTTGGTGAAACCTCACAAGATCAGACTATTGGAGGAAGTGGACAACACCTCCACTTCTTAAGTTGCCAAACTAGTTTCTCTATAATCAACCGTTATGGACGAGGAAAGTATGAGGGGAGATTTTGGATCTCTAATTGTATTTAAATTCTATCAAATTTTTGATAATTTTTTATTTGAGCCTATACTCTGTCTTCAGTGGGCTGCAAGACATATTTTGGATTCTCTTGTCGATTGTTGAAATTGGATGCAGTGAGATTGGACATGTCAAAGCTTAGTGGTATGTAATTTGCACGTGTAGTAACATGGCAAATAACTGGTTGAGCATCTGACGTCAACTCAGCAAGTTGGATATGGACATACGTTATTTGAAATATTTGAAGGTAAAGGTTCCAGAGAGTTTCATAATTTCCACGTAAAGGAACATGACAAAGAACTGGTTGAGCATCTGACGTCAACTCAGCAAGTTGGATATGGACATATGTTATTTGAAATCTTTAAAGGTAAAGGTTCCAGAGAGTTTCATAATTTCCACGTAAAGGAAGTTACAAGGATACAAAGAATTGCTGCTCATGGGGAGCGATTACAAAAAGTAGAAACTGTAGGTGGCCTAATTTTTCATAAGAAGAAACAAAGTTATCAACAATAGGCTTGGCCACGGTCCGGTTAACGGTTAACCGGTCCGGGAAATGTGCGGACCGGTTAACCGGTCCAATTAACCGGTTAACCGGTAAGTTAACCGGTCCGGCATTTTGCCATATCGGTTAACGGTTAACCGAGGTTTTAACCGGAGAAAGTACAGAGCGCGCGCGGATTCTGCATTTGTGACGAGACCGAGGGGCGGAGGCAGGCTGCTTTGAGTGAGGGAGCGAAGGAAGAATCGGGCGAGGAGTGCCGGGAGAGGAAAGTGAAGATGAGAAGCAATTGGCTGCTTTTTAAAGACTCTCGGCAGAGGCGAGAGAGATGTGCCGAAACCTGCTGGGTTTTTGATGTGAAGAAATATTTAGATGAAAACCATGTAATGAAATTATCTGCTGGCACATCTTCGTAATTTGTGTGCATTTCGAGATTACTCTAAGCTTTTCATCTTTTTTTGTCAAGCCTAGCAATTATTTGTCATATGAATGTTAGGTATCACATTCGTCACATTTTCTTAAGATAAAAATGAATTTGTAACCTAGGATGTTCCATGTCAGGTTATAGTGAGTCTTTCCTAGACTAACTGTCTCTTTGATCTGAGTGTACAATGCACATAGGGAGAAGAAGCATACTTTTTCTTCCTATATCCACTCCTTCAATTGATAATTCAGTTATATCTCCCGTGAATACTAAATCTCCTTTTCAATACAGAGTGTGGTAACATAGTTTTTCATTTTTTTTGAATACTGAAGTTTGAGGAGTAGATGAACAGAAATTTATACTTTTAGGATAAGAATAATTAGAATTGAATTAAATAAAGGATTTTATAACAGATCACAAGTTATGAATAGTTGGAATACTTATTAGATACCTCTCTGTTGGAGTTAGTGTTCTTACTTGCAGGCAATAAAGTTAAATTAGATGGGTTGTGATCTACTAGATTCAATGCTTCATAACTTTGTCACTTAGTGGTAACTTAACTTAATCAGGATCTTCATAGATAGAGCTCAAAAAGCTCGTTCTAACGAGCCTAAGAACTCCTGAAACAGATAAGGAGTCACCGAGTTATGAGTGTAGGAAGTGATTGGCATGATAAGGCGAAGACGAAGGAGAGCCTTCGGACTTTGGCTTTGACACCTTCCGCTTTATAGCAGAAGAACCTTCGGCTTAGTGAAAGACGGTGTTGATAGGAGGGAAACTTTGACCTTGGTACCACCAATTCGCACGAGTTCACGATGCGGTTAGGACGTTGAGAGACAATAATAGAAACGAAAGTTCCGCGCCAACATTTCGGGAGAGTGCATTTTCAAAATGGGAGTTTAGCAAGTATTGCGAGTTGAGAAATTGAGAGCGCAAAAATGGGACGAGCTTCGTAACTTCGATTGAAGACATTGAAAGTCCTGGAGTTTGGATTGAGAGCGTATCACAATGAGCTGATAGTTGCCAAGCTCGATTTCTTGCTATAGAGTTGGAATTGGGTATCCGCGGCAATTGTGAAGGAATGGCAAGAGGAACGCGCGCCATAAGTCAATGGGATTTGCGATAAACCTGAGAGTTGGACGATTGATCAATGGGCTCAAATCTTGGAGCCGTGTGCACGTCAAGCATGGTAGAAAAACACTTCTTAGAATGGTGTTGTTGCTCGTAGAAGTTACACAATGACATTTTGGATGTCTTCAATGCTGTAGAATAAATATCCATTGTGATGATGTTGAAGCTGGTAGTATCATACACATTTGAATTCATTCTTGTAACTATTGAATGTGTGTTTTCTTTTTTATGCTATGTTTCTTGGCCTCATGATATATTCAATACTTTGACATATTAGTTACATAATTTCCATCTTAATGATATTGGTCCGGACTCTAGCTTCCCTATTGGATTCATAAATCTCCCATTTGATGGGCAATATAAGAACTTCTTGTACCCTTGCGATGCTGGCTCTGACAGAATTTCCTATGGCGATCTCTGATCCACATGGAGTCGAAGTAGAGCAGTAAGGCCGTGATAGTGAAGTTACGAGAGTCCCGTGCTGAGGGTGCAGGCCCCCGATAGAGAAACCGGGACTCACACCGCACCAAAAGGTCCTGTCGGTCGTGCACCGCACGGTCCGGAACCCGTCCCTAAGCAGGGCCCACCAGAAGCGGAAACCGATCCATCCCATCGAATCAGAATAGCGAAAGCGCCGCTTCAACTTTCGCGACCCGGCGGGCGGGGGTAGTTAGTTACATTTACGTCGATGGCCATGTCCCGCAGCAAGACAGAGCCAGCACGAGCACGAGCACGTTGTACAGAGTTCCTCGACGGAGGGAAGTCCCCCTCCCGAAGACAGAGTGCGGTCAACCAGTCGAGGGTGCGCTGAGCTGAGCTGAGTGGAGCTGAGCTGAAGAAACTCCTCCCAGAGAAGGGCCGGGAAACTCTGAAGATTCGGATTGATCCCCCCACCCCTCCCTCGCTGTTCCTCCCTCGGATCAGGTTTGGGTTTGCTCTTCGGAACGTGGATCCGAAGGTCTCGCGGTCGTTGCCAGGTCGCGGAGGTTGATGGAGGAGGTTGATTCTTTCCCGAGTATGGCTCGCAGTTGACCTGTGAGCTGCAGCTGTTGCTGCTGTTGCTGCTATCGAGCTCAGAGGTCTGGGCAGCTTCGCAATGTGGATGAATTCCGACCCGGGGAATGCTAGAATGATCGTTCGGAGGGGAGTAGGAGGATTTTGTGCGCAGATTTCTGGCTCTGAGCTCCAGGCGTTGGATTGAATGGGTCCGGGCAGCGTCTGTCTCTGTCGTAGCATGGGCGGAAGGAGCATGGCCTGGAAGGGGAACGCTTAGGGTTCAGAGATGAATCGGGCGTCGCTGTCGCCGCTGCGCGGGCGCAACAACACGATGGAAGTTCTGATGATTACGGAGTTTGTGAAGTTCGTCAAGAGAAAGGCTCTGTTCTGCTGGGAATCGGCCGTCGGCGCGAAATGGAGAGCTCACACGTGGACCGTCTCCTTCTCCAAGAGATTGCATCCTTGGCTGCGCATTCCCGTGGTCCTCGCCACGGATTCGCTGGCATGGATCTTGCTCATGGAAGTGGGAATTTCGCTCGTCTTCATCTCTCTGGCGACGGTCTACTTCAACGGAATGTTCGTCCTGGCCCCATACCTCGCCGTTCTCTTCTGGCTCCTCTCCTACTTCGCGCCGCCCCTCTGGAATCTCTCCCATCCTCCGCCCGACATCACATTTCTCCTCGCCTTGTGTAGCGTTTGCATGTTCTGCATTCTTTCGTTCATTCAGAGCCGGATAAAACACAAGGATCCCAGTTTGGATGTAGGGGACTTCGTGACGAGCTTTCTGTTGCGGATCCCAGCTTTTCAACAGCTCGTCGTGGGATATTCAATTTTCTCTCTAGGGAGTGCGTGCGCAGCTGTTTTCACTTTGGATTTGTTCCTCGCAGTGTACTGGGGCTTCTTTGGTACTTTCTACGTGTTAGAGGTTTGCTACTTGCTGCTCTGTCGTCTTCCTTGGTTTGTATTCATACCGGCGGGTGTCGCCCTTCCACTCTTGTCTGTAGGACTGCTTCGAAAGCTTAAATCTCATCGAAGTCGTGTGATGGACAGTGAGAGGCAGATGATTCAGCAAAGTAGTTTTCGGAGCCCAGTTTAGTGGCTCGACTATTGTAATCTCTCAAAAGAAGATTGCTTCACACGTCGATTGAATGCAGCGAGGGCCCTTGTAAATACGCTGGAAGGTGTGGCTCTCGTCCTTGAATCTGTCATTCAGAGGTTCGGTAATAAATATTGTACATATGATTGTTTCAGCCAATACAGATGGTTGGTGCCCCATTCATATAACGTAAAGTCCGAGAATTTAGAGTTTTTCGTGTGGCTGTCCTGTTTTCTAAGTTCATGTGATTATTGTACGGAGCAATATTTCGTGTGCTAGCTGCTACTATACAATTGGAACGCTGAGGTAGCCAAGGGAGCTGGCCACAGACTTGTGGTGAGTATCACAGATGATCCACGAGCAGGTTAAAGGAATTTGGGTCAGGTGTTGAAGGATAGAGGGCGAGAGATTGAACTCGAGAAGGTTCATTCCATGGCTAAGAGTCAATGTTTTAAACGCTATGTTTTTGGTCGCCAGCCGTATTTTCTTTCTAGGGCTTAGGCAGGGCTTTGATGCTGACCTCCGATGTCTTGAAAAGCTCTCACAGATGTCAAAAGGATGTGTATTTTTCCTCATCGAGGGCATTGCCGTTCTCATAACAGGATAATGAAGACTCTTGATGAGCACGAACTGAAAAGGAAATACTTCTTAACAATATCCATCATTATATGTAGATTTTTTTACTGCCTCGCAGCTAGCACAGAAAACCTCCGTCAAACTTGTGACTAGTGGTTGAGTCTATATCATTGATCCAGAGGCACGAAAGCTGCGTGATTCGATGGAGGAATCACTTGAAGGCGAGTAATTCGTAGAAAATCTGAACACTCGTCTGGAAAGAGCGAAGCTCGCCACGAAGTACGCTGCCGGCATGTACCAGAGATTCCATGTAATCGGTTTCTGCAGAATATATTGCGGTCCATAGATTTGGTAGGGAGCACGGGCCCGGGGTCATGAGATGTGGCTGAGAAGGTTCACCACTGAAGGTGAGTTTTGAGGTCCATTCATTCGCACTTTCTGGATATCAGTCAGTAGCATTGGATCGCGCCTAGAATGTGAAGATGTAAAGAATTAGCACATTGTAAGGTGTTGTGCATCGTAGAGGCACTCTTCACTATTGTAAGCCGTGTTAGTACATGTGCCAAGCAGGTAATAGGGTCAAGTCTTTGCTCGATGTCCATGTGGCCAAAAGACAAGCAGTTGTCAAGTGCGGAGAATGCAGAAACACTCTGGAAATGTTCGAAATGTACACACGCACTCTTCACATGCAGAGACGTGCAGTGAGGCCTTGTGTCCAACTTCTCAACCAGCGGTCCTCGAGGTTCACTTAGAAAATCCTTGTCAAGGTGCAGGTGGTCGAGGGCTAGCGGAAGTGTCACGAGAAATCCCAAAATCTATTGTTCGACAAAGCTTGAAATCAGTATCCCGAGTTTTCCAACATCGATTCTTTCGGTAACTAATCCGAGACCACTCTAAGGCAGAACATTGAATTGCGGTGTGACTTCAAGCGACAACAGGAAAACGTTTCTACTGTCTGTCGAGAGCACACTCTGTCCTCAGGGATCCTGTTCTCCATCGGACCTGGACGGCGACCGGGTTATTGCGCTCTTACAGCGTTAGGAGACCGTACATGGAGCACTGATAATCGTACATGGAGCACATATTGTGTTGCACAGGATGCCCACATACGCCACTGTGAATCTTCAAAGAAGTTCATTCTATTACTGCCTGTTATCATAGAGAGGTATCAACGGGGACTGCTAGAATGTTCATGACAAACATGATTCTTAAAAGTTTCCTTAAAAGAGCCTGCGCGTGCCATCGGAAAAAATGGGCATTGTCTCTGGACTTGGTCATGGTATGGAGAAAGTATCGATCCCACATGGAAAACGAAACTGCTCCTTCAGTCTGACGTGCTTGAACTCTGAACTACCATGTCCTCTCAGAACTACGAGTTTGTTCAACACCATCATTGTCCAGCAGACATCAGATGATCTGGCCAAAAACCACTTGGCCGAGTTTCAAATCGGTCAACTTGTGTTTCAATTCGCTAGACAGCATTGAAGAAAACGCTGGAAGCATTTCCTCAAGATATGTGTCTCAGAGAATTCTGTGGATATGATTCCTGTGCCGCAGGTTACCGCGAGTGCCAAAGTTGTACGAACTTTCGACTTCATCATCCTCATCTGAACATCCTCATAATGCACCCTCCCCATCTTGACAGCAGTTAGAATCGCCTTTGAGCTCCGCAATTTCGAGTCTGTCCATTTGTTTAGGAGCCTTGAGAGGATGTATCTCAATCGTGGCCTTAGCCTCATTCGTGAATATATTGGTCTGTGAGTAGCCATCCACTTACTCAATATTAATAATCCCTAAACGAAGTCCATACTTTGTCATAATAAAGAGTGGCAGAGCGTGGGGATTCCTGAAGGTTGGTCTTCAACGACAAAGGCTGTCCAGGAGTCCAGGTTGAGCTTCAAGACCTAAGGTTGTGCCTCAATAGGGAGAGATCTGGACAGAAATGGATCGGAAGGTAACACAATGTAGTAACAAGGCAATGTTCGATAGTAGATCTGCTGAACGAGATTGCTTGCTGGGATTGGTCGGCACTTCTTCACTGTAAGCACAGCAGCAGAGAGAAATCTTCGCTGGGGTAGAAAATCCATGTGATCAGCCATGGTACCAGCTACATGATCGACGAGATCAAACATGTACTCAGTGCTCGGACAGTGCGAACGCTATGAGACATTTGCTTTAAGAGCAACTATCGTTCTTGCATATGTTTAATATATTCTGGACATCCAAACTCCTCAGGCTCCGTAAATCACTAATGGCATGGATCCGTCTGAAATTGTGAATCCTTCTTCGGAGCAACTGCAGAACCTTATTTAGAATTCTCTTATTTTACAACCTTGGAAGAACATTCGTGCAACATTATCACCTGCTTCCCGTCGGTAGAAAGAGGGTTCTTTGGACGTAGAGGCTAGTGAGATCTAAGGGGAAACATGGAGGGTTTTTCTCTACTTGCAGTCGGGGGGTCAGGTAAGCCCATGGAAACAACGAGGAAAATGTTATTTTTGCAATCTTCAAGGGACTCAATTTTTTCTATTAGCAGCAATTTTATATCATTCCACTCTATCAACTTTGGAAGATAGTGCAAAATGGACGGCGCTATGATACACCCTATGGGAAACTTTACAAGGTGTTCATCAGCTGATATTTTGTGAATCTTGATCATCTAATGTAAACCCTAAGATATATTTGAAAATCTTCGGATGAAAAAAATTTTGTGTTTTAACCTTCTGTACATTCATATCCAGGTAAAACCGGAGTCCCCTTAAATTTCATTAAGAATAGTCTCGATCAGATAAAACCCATCACTGGTCGCACAATCAGAAGGAAAGCATATTACAATGTAACCGAAAATACAAAATGTGAATGTGCAGAGGTTGTTGTAGTCAGCTTATTTATACTATCCCATCATCTTAAACAATATTAAAAATATAATATCATTTGAACCACTTTCAGTTAGGAACGGAGGGACGATGTGATTCATGAGATCTGATCGTAGGAATCCTGCGACCTGAAATTTTATTCTTGTGTGGTCAATAATGTAGGGACATTTACTTATATATTTAACTTTGGACTCCTCCGACTGTCACCCTTTAAAGTACTAATAAATCTAGAAACGTTCTTCAAAATGCGTTGTTGGCTATCATCTAGCCCAGTCTGCTTAATAGCATACCATTGCCGTGTCATCAAAAGGAAGCAGTACTCTGTATCATCGTTATTGATTCATGCGGTTTGCTACAGCATATAGTAATATTATTAGGCTGGAATGAAAGTTGATGCACATGGATATGTTTAGCATGAACATAGTACTGGAACCATATTGCTAGATTATTGTTGATGGATACCAGGTTATAGAAAGAACACCGACCAAGATATTTCAAAGTCGATGATTGCGATAACAAGTTCGTTGGAGAGTGCTAAAACCACTAACATTTTACTAGCCAACGGGTATCACTCTCTTTGACTTCTTTTATACTCTAGTTATGTACAAACTTTCCATTTCTATGAAGTAAGCACTAGGTAGTGTTGACATTAGGGGAACAACCTCTTTGTTTTAGTGAGCAAATAGTTATTCTAATTAGCCCTCACTCTACTACAGGCTCTTATCTCATTGGTAGATGCAGGGTTATAGGTTCCTCGGATAAGTAGCACTCAGGATAGAGTGTAACATGTTAGACCAATCAGAGAGTCATATATACTAGGGTAAAGGCTAATTAACCCTAAGTGAGGATAACTAGTACTCTTATTGTTTTATTATGCTCTTATTGTTTATATATAGTTCTATTGAGATATTTCTTATTTACAAGACATAGAAAGACGTGATTACCACAATTCGTGCCTAGCCCCATGGCCCTATTTGTCGTCTTGACGGGGTCTTGTTGTACTTTTTGTTACTTTTCCGTTCACATTCATTTTTAATATTTATGGATACAAGAGAATAGTAACATTCACAGAGAGACATACTGGTTTTTGTTTTGGAATGCTACTTTCTTTGAAAGATGGCTCTCCGTGTCCCATATATACTCTCCCTACCCGAGAAGTATCTTTTGGCTATGGGACACGAAAAGTGGCAGGTCTAGGATTGACTTGTGGGGCAATGCTGAATAGGCTTCCAACCTGACCATGAAACACATGGGCCGCTGGATCAAAACAGAACTCTGAGCTATATTCCAGGCAGATGAATCCAACATCCCAAATAGATGGGTCATCTTACGGGTGATATATTTATTCGTAAACCAGGCATGATGTCGCGATGATTGGAAGTTCAGGTTGGGATTTCTTGATCCCGTTTGAAAAAAGGTCATCCATCCTGTTGCTTGAGTATCGTTATATCACGTGCTGCTAGCCAATACGACTTTGAAATTTTGGCACATGCTGTCCTGTCATAGATGAACAGACCGAGCAGTTAAACAAGGAGCAAAAATGTCCTATTACACGTCCAGATTCACAGTCAACTCTTTCCACAATGTAAACACATGGGTCGCTGAATCAAACAGAACTCTCACCAAAACCCCATGCAGCTTAATATATCATCCCAGTCCTCTTACGGGAGATATTTTTTATTCAAATAAACGTCTAATGATCGCAAGATCATTATGCGCTTACGTTCTTGGAATTTCTCAATCCCGTTTGAACAAAATTCCTCTATCCTGTTGCTTGTGCATTGTTATATCACGTGCAGCCACCAACTCCGACTCTGAAATTTATATGTTACGTTCTCCTGTCATATTATGTAGACCAGGCAAGCAGTCAACAAAGAGCAGAAACGTCGTACTACACGACCAGATTTGCTGTCATCATATTCCACCCTAAACACAAATACCGAGACAACTATCAGAACCATGTGCAAGCGTTCGACTGTTCAGTTCTTCGTAAGAGATGACACATATATCCACAGCAGTATTAAGGACTAATGGCAATAATCATTGGGGACAAATCAAGGGGACGCATTTCCCATGGAAGACAAAGCCAGAAGGAAAAGGGAAAGCTAATCACTAAGAGGATATGAAGCATACTAGCAAGTTCCCTTATACAAGGTAACTGATAAAATTCTATAATATGCGTATTATTAGCAATTTAGCAATATCACCACCACAGTCTTCTTACAGCAAGTTTTTCAGTTTGTTCCTTGAGTCATGTTTAGACATAGAGCCTTTTGTTCTTACGGAAGTAAGAGCCTCTTACTTTCCCCGCATCCCCTACTTTATCTGGCTGTGAAGGCAAGAGGATCCCAGCGCTCGTACTATAGAGGATAATTTCCAACACAGTGAAGATATTTGTTTCAAATTGGGATCAGGGACGGTAGAAGTGACGGCTAACTGCAATGAAAACTGGATGGGACTGACAAAACCCCAGAAAGGACGAGTATGCCGGCAGGTGCAATGAATTTTTAATGGCATATTTAATTTGATGCATTACTAAACTAACAGTCGAACTTTTGCAAGTGCACGCAAATGAGAAAGGTTTTTGTCACAACCTTTCTTTGTAGCATAACTCTTTACAGGTTCACGAGGAAAATGTGTGAGTCTAAGAGACACCATAAAAGGATTTCAAGTGATTCTTTCGGGAGAATTATTTCACCTTCCTGAACAAGCATACAATTTACTAGGAGATACAGGTGAACTGTAAAAGCAGCTAGTTGTGGATCTTGATAAGAGTATCAAATCATCAATGCTTATGTTTACAATCTTTCACCTTCTCCAAGCAAGACTTGAAGCGAAGTTCAAATCTTATTAGTAAATTGTTGCATTGTGATGACTGTCATGAGATTATTGAACTTTGCCAAATCTTTGGATCAAAAAGTAGAAAAATTCCACTTTTTCCAAAAAAATTGGATTAGATTTTAAACATCAGAAAAAAATTTCACATGATATCTTTGTAACTTTGTACTCATGAAAATTTGTAAAATGTTTAGAATCTTTTACTATGAAGCGTTGAACCCAACTACTATAATAATAAAGCAATGCAAGAACATGCAAGTCTTGTCACAACGGAGCTACTATGAATAACATGAATAATCTTCAAAACCATTGATGCTTAAACGGATGACCGATTGCAAGTAGTGTCACAACACAATTATCTTGAAGTTTTTGATGACATATATCATATTTCTAATCATCTATCTGAGGAAAATTTCATAGGTTAAGTTGAAAATCATCTCATTGAAATATTACTAAGAATCCATAATTCGATCAATTTTAAATTTCTATTTTTTTAAAAAGCTCTAAGAAATATTAAATGAAATTTAACTAAAATACTCCTTTGCGTAAAAAATTTAGGAAAGAGATTTTTTGGTTAATATGAAATTTATTTGATGAAAAGAGGATGTACATTTTTGTCTTGTACATATTTGTAATAAAATATTTAATAAATGATATGAATTTTTATATCAATTATCAATAATCTCATTCTCATATATACTATATA